GCTTAACACTCATCAGTTTAATTGGTGGTCTGGGTGGTGACTGGGAACTTTTTGGGTTGTTTTATTGTTATTGTTGGTTGATACTGTTATTTTTTTAAGCTCCCACAGTAATTCTAATTGGGAGTCAGAGCTGAGGACCTCTGGATAAGGTGAATACCAGATGGGGTACCTCAGCTTCTGGGCTTCAGATGGTTAAAGGGAAGAAGTCCCACTGTGTGGCCGCAAATACATGGAGAAAATAAGAGAAAGAGGAAACCTTATTTAATGGAAATATACATAATTCAGAAATGCTTGAAGTCCACTGTTTAATATAAATCAAAGGGGAAAAAAGGGAGTTTTCTATTAAATGCAAAGGATCTTAATAGCTTCAAAAAGAAGGCTGCAGGGTAGGGTAATAGAATTAGCCTCTCAAGAGGAAGAAGCCAGATGAGGAGGTCTTATGGGTGAGTCCATTAAAATGGCCAAAAGAACTGATGTATTCTTGAAATGCCATAGAGAGTCTTAGAGTCGGACAGAATTGTGCTTGAATTCAAGTACCCTGCCTCAGATATTTAGCTTCTCTAGGCCTCATTTTGCCAATCTGTAATGGGGATGCTAATAGTATCTATTTGGCAGGTTTTTGTGATGAGGCATGCAAAGTGCCCAATACAGGGCTGCCACAAGAAAATATATAAGAAATTATTTGAAAATACTGAATATGAGATTTTCTTGTTTCTTATAACCCTACTTCATTTTTCTTAAATCATAAAATTTTAGTTTATACAGTCCTAAAATCTGTGGAGGTCTCAGACCCAAATGTAACCAACAAATGTTAGGCCTAGAAAACTAATATTTCAGTACTTGCCTTTATTTTGTTGTACTTTTGGAAGCACTTTGGACCAAAGGTGAAAACAGACACAGATGAAGAGTTGCCCAATCCCAACACAAATTGTTCCAGGCATCACCACTGTGTGGATTATGGCATTTACTCTACCTATCCACCTTTCCCCAAAAGAGGAAAGAGTTGAGTTGAACAGGTTTTTCCCCCCTCTTATAACCATTAACAATTGTTCTCCCTGCAAACACAATAGTAGTCTATTTTACCAACTCTAATATTCAAGTCAAAGTGTTTATTAAACTATTTAAGAACCATTTATTAAGTAATGGTTTGCCAAGACTTAGAATAAGAAGATTATGTACATGTATCCATTCAGGCTAGACCTAAAGTGAGCTGATCTAAAGTTTATTTCACTGGCCAGATAGTCAGCTGTCCAAAGCACCTTAAGACACTGACTTAGAAAAAAATAAGAATCAAATTATTATTAAGTTATTCATTATAGAATAACATGGCAATTAGGCAAGGAGGTGAGAATTTGCTTCAGTGTTTGAGCTACTGTGTTTTGAAATCATCCTTAACAAAACTTAGGAAATTTCTTAGGGGGAACAGTTTGTCTGAATATGCTAACCTCTCAAGTATACCATGGAAGAAAGAATACATACCTACCATGCTTGCAAAGAAAATATGAAATATAGTTGGAAATGCCTACCAAATATCAACTGAATTATGTTTTCTTTTTTTTTACCCTTTTTTAAAAAAGAAAGATTTTATTTATTTATTTGACAGAGAAAGACACAGCGAGAGAGGGAACACAAGCAGGGGGAGTGGGAGAGGGAGAAGCAGGCTGTCTGCTGAGCAGAGAGCCCGATGCGGGACTCGATCCCAGCAACCTGGGATCATGACCTGAGCCAAAGGCTCAGAATGTTTACATTCAGGATTCTAGGAGGAGTGAAATAGAAAAATAGGTCATAGGGTGAAATGCATGTAATTGAGATGATGGGGTGGGGGTGGTAATTAGCATTTGGATATGAGTAAGAAAGAGTGATAGAGATGGGGAGGATAAGATCAGTGGAAGAATTGAGTTCAAGGAACTGAGAAGCTAGGGTGATGGGCATATCATACATTTATATATTGAAATCACCAAGAATTGACACAGGAGTACTGTTAGAGGGACAATGAGCCTAGAGTTCAGACTTTTGAAAAACCAGGAGGGACCTGGATGGATGTAAACAGAGGCAAGAAAAACAAACAAAAAAAACCCCCAAAAACCACAGCAACACTGAGGGGTAACAATGATATAATCCATTGGCATTAGATACAAGCTGGATGGTTTTAGGGAGAAGAGAAAGAGAACTTGAAATTGGCAATGAGGACCAAGGGAACCTTCTACCTCGCCTCCAGGTCAAATGCTACTTGAGAACTGGGAGAAAAAATAGCCATTTGGAGAATGCTGCGGGAGAAGTAAGGTCCGTAGAAGGAAATTATGCTTACATTAGCTGTGGATATGAAGGGAAAGTTCAGAGAGGAAGTTGAGAAAGAACCCTGCTGATATTTGAAGGTTGGGGAAGGGTGGATGAAAGGGATCAAATAAGGATAAGAGTGAATCACTTAAGAGATGGGGTTTCTGGTATTCACTAATGTGAAATCATAGAAAATACATATATGGGTCTCTGCCCCCAATTCCTGGCACAGAGCTCCTAAAAGCCTTGTAATTTCCTAAATAATAAGAGTACTAGGAGCACCTTTCATTCTAATATTTGGGTTTTGACCCTAGTTCCTGACCTAGAACTCAAATCTCAGAATTTCCTGGGTGATAGGAGTGTCCTTTGTTCTAATGAGGTGACTCTGGGTGGGCTCCTGATAGCTATAGGAAGGGCGGTGGTCAGCAGAAAGATCAAGCCGTGATTAGAAGCTTGGAAATTTAAGCACCTTCTTCCCTATGCTCCAGGAAGGAGAGAGGGGCTGGATATTGAGTTAATAATCAATTATGTCTACATGATGAAGCTTCCATAAAAATTCCAAAAGTATGAGATTAGAAGAGCTTCCAAATTGATGAACACATCCATATAGTGGAAAGATAGCACACCCAACCCCACAACAGAAGCTCCTGTGCTCTGGATCCTTCCAGACCTTGCTTTATGTACCTCTACATCTGGCTGTTCATCCTTATCCTTTACAATATCTTATATAATAAACTGGTAAATGTAAGTAACTGTTTCCCTGAGTTCAGGGAAATGATAGAATCCGAGGAGGGAGATCATGGGAACCTCCAATTTGTAGCCAAGTTAGACAGAAGTTTGAGTAGCCTGGGGACCTATGATTGACATCTGACGTAGTGGCAGGGGGAATCTTTTGGAGCCTTTAGTCCATGGGGTCTGTGCTAATTCCTGGTACTGTTAGAACTGAAGTGTAGGACACCCAAGTGGTGTTGTAGAGTGTTGCTGGGAAAAAAATCATTGATGTGGGAAAAAATCCTCCCATCTGGTGTCTGGACTGTTGTATGGTAGTAGTATGAGAACCCATGAGAAACACACCGGAGTGTTTTTATCGTTCAAACTGAGATAAATAGAAATAAAGGGCAGAATGAAATTAGTCCTGGTGAATTCAAATCAGGTAAGTGGACATGATGGGGGGTGTGTGGGAGGGTGGGATGGGTGTATGGGTCTCCCTCTTATGGAGGTAAAATGCCTAGGGTTTGGTCCCAGTGCTTGGGTCTAGTCTTGACCCTATCGAGAGGAAAGCTTACTCCAAGAGTCAGGCTCAGCCTTGATACCTGTTCAAGAAGTTAAGACTTCCAGAAAAGCCAGAAGTAATCTTTGACCACCAGATTCTATGTCTAAAAATTAGAGTAATAAAATATATCCCTACAGAACTTAGCCCAGGGTGGTATAACAATGGGGGGTCCCAAAAATTGTCAGTTATACAGCCATTCTACCCTTTTTTGGCAGAGAGGTGCAGTCTGTTTTCCGCTAGTCCTGAATGAACTCGTTTGAAAGATAGCTAATTTTATCACAGACCATTAAGAAGCAAACTACGAACAAGATATAAGGAATTTAGTACAACGTTCCCGGTAAAATAAAATTACACTCTATGTAAACCAATGAAGCCAAGTTGATCAGTTAGTAGGTGCAATCACTCTCACTACAGTGGGTCCCCAGTAGTTTCAGTGGTCATCTATCCATCCCCCATCCATCTATCCATTCATCCAATCTTACTGAGTGTCTATGCTCTAGACACTGCGGAGAACATTGGTAAGGAAACTAGTTATGAGCTCCATCCTCATGATGTTTAGTCTAGTGAGGAGGAGAATCATTGATTAAGGTATTGGATATATGATGAATGCCATGAAGTCAGAGTTTTCCAGAAGAACCTAACAAGGGGACCTAATTTTTACCATTTGCCAAAGGATTATCTGAAGCCAATTTTTCAGATCCCAAAGGATTGATATCCTGTAAGCTCATTTCTAGAATGAGTCCATTATGAAAAATACGAGGGCCACAGCAGAAAGTGGTAGAGCTACAGCACCAGGGAAACCTGACGGTCCCAATTCTTAAGCAAGCTTCTCATCACTCACTGATTTAGGGTATGGTGTCCTCTCTATCTCCTTTCCAGAAGCTACACTGAGGTTCACCACAAAGAAGAGTCTCAGTATCATCTAGGAAGACTGAATTGTGCCACAGCTTTTGCAGCAATGGGATTGCATTTTCTCCCAGTTGAAGCTTAGAAAGAACCGCATATATAGCTGCTTTTCTAGAAGCCGAAGTGTGCAGCTCAGAGCATGCCCTTGCTCTCCCTACCTATAAGATAGGTTTCTGCACATTCACAGGGAGCAACAGTGAGGCATGACCTCTAAGCTTGGCTCCAGTTGTATGATGCTTTGCTGAGACACAATTTCCTTCTACCTAGTAAGGTCAGTAGCCGTTTCACATTCAGAGGAATAAAGTCCACTTTAGATATGCACAGAGAGAGTGTAACCTGCTCTTTGTTCACTTCATCTTGTTAGCTACTTGATGGCTCATTCTAAGCTTTATGTCATGATTCTTGATAGAATCATCCCAAATCATCCATTGGCTATTAAACCATATTCATTTTGCCCTGCTTTATTCAGTGTATCATTCTATGCTGCTACTCCAAAACCACATTATAATATGGTATGTCCATGTTATTTAAAAAATATACTTACTGCTACTTGGTGGCAAAAATAATCCATTGATATTGCGAGGTTTGCTGTGATAAAAGATACAACTGATCTTCACACAACCAAGAGGTTGAGTTTCCCAGAAGCATGAAATGCTGCAGTTTTGCTAGACAAAGGAGGTGGGGGAAATGTAATGATCAGATACCATATTCAAAATAAATACAATGTGCTACAGCACAACATAATGTGACAAAACTATCCCAATTACTGATTTAGGATCATGTGTGTCTCCTGAGTTTCAGTATTTCTAAACTCTGCTATTTAAAAGATACAATAGATATTTCGAAAACATGCCACCATTTTTTATAAGAATTTAAGTTGAACAGCATGCAAAATGAGTAATATTAAGTAGTGGAAGAAAGAATCATTTTTTTCCCTCTATTGTTTTGTAAGAGTACATAGTTCTAGAGGGGAGAGGGGAGGGGGATGGGTTAGCCTGGTGATGGGTACTAAAGAGCGCACATTCTGCATGGAGCACTGGGTGTTATGCACAAACAATGAATCATGGAACACTTCATCTAAAACTAATGATGTAATGTATGGGGATTAACATAACATAATTAAAAAAAGAAAAAAAAGAGTACGTAGTTCGGTCTTATGAAGAGAGACGCTTTTTTTTTTTTTAACAAACATGATGATGGTGAGTAATTCTACCTGCATTTCCATGTGTCTAAATCTGCAAAGTGGATCTAAACATTTTCCCTCTCTCCATAATGAGCACACAGTGTCACTGCCAAGGGCCTCTTCACAGTGTCGGAATCGGCACTGGGAACCCTGCAAGTAAAAAGGGAACAGTATGGAAAACTCAACGTACTAGCGTTAGTGTTCAACAACAGTAAGTTGCTAATTAATTAAGGAAAATATGACTAGATCAAATTAGAATCACAAAAAATACTGCAAAATAAGGTCGTAAGTCTAAATTTTAGCAAATTTGTTTAATTTTAGTGAGAGACTGACAATATAATCTAGTACAACATGCCACAAGTCACTGATCAAATGCTACTTTTTGTTATCAGTTAATCCATATGATCCACTAAGAATAAACATGATACCACTGATATTCTTGATCGCAATCCAATGATGGAACAATTTAATTTAGCTTTCTGGAAAAAGATAGTTTTTTGTTTTGTTTTGTTTTATTTAAGAATCACAAGCCATATTCAAATGGTGGAGATGATCTCTATTACTCAATCTTTATTAGATAATGTTTTCTTAGTCTATTGGAGATACTGTTAAGTGTGTTTTTACAGGGAAAGTGAATGGGGCTTAAACTTTATATTACTGTGGAATTTTTTAGCACATTATGCTACATTAAATGTATATTCTTTATACCCTTGGTCTACAAGATAAACAACTGTGCCAATACACGTATACATATACCAACAAAAGCAGATGTGGATTATTTTAATGGGCTGCTAGTCCTTTTTTTAATTCTATGTCTTTTACATATAGGCCCACACTTGGAAAAACTGCAGGCTGTTGTCTTTCTGACAGAGAGGTGCGTGACATTCAATAAAAATATTCCATGAAGTTCTGTCTTTTGACACATGTTCCATGTTTTTTTCTTATTTTTTCTCACTTTCTTACTCCTGTCTTCACAATTTCCCCCTTTTAAAAGTGGATCTGTGGATCTTGTAGTACAAGATAGTGGACAGGGCTAGATAAACCAGTATTGAACTCCTGGTTCCATTATTTGTCCATAGTTACAAAGTTAATACATTTCCTCACCCTGTCTGTGCTTCAGTGTCCTCATCTGTAAAAAGGGAATAAAATGTGCCCCTCACAGATTGTAAAAATTATGTGAGGAAGGTATCGTGGTTGCTATTGCTATTGTTATGTATTCATTTAATTATTTATTGAGAATTTACCACCCATCGGTCATGGTGCTAGGTACTTGGGGATACAGCAGTGAAACAGACAAAACTCTCTGCACACACAGAATATAAATTCTATTATTATTTATCATCTCTAGGTTTAATCATAAGGGGACAGGCAAATAAGTGAGCACTGGGTGTTATAGGAAACATAAATTATTGAACACTACATCTGAAACTAATGATGTACTATAAGTTAGCTAACTGAATTAAAAAAAAAAAAGTGGATCAAATTCTTATGGTCAAAGAGGTTGACTCCACTCAGGCTTCCTAGCAGAGATAAGTCACTTTAAATCAGACACATTGTGTCTTTCATTCAGGCATGAACATGAAGCTCCAACTTTCTACATTTATTTGGTTTCATTGAGGTCCATTAATCCTAATCTCTTTAATATCTTTATTATTTATTTAATATCTTTATTTATATCTTTATTTAATATCTTTTAGCCTTATAAACTTGAATTCAAATTTGGCTAATTTGTTTATAATACTTCTTTTCCTTTTTCCATGTTATCAAATATTCGCTGTTAGACTGTTGACAGGAAAATTCAGTAACTGGGTTAATGAATTTCAAATAGGGAATCAATTAGATTTATTAACCTAAGTTTGATAGTGAGCTGAATTTAACTTTTTAATTAACATGTTTGGAATCACATTAACTGTAACAATATATCATATAACGTTTCAGTATGTTTGAAACTATATCATAATTTTAATTTCCTCAGAGAAATTCAGTATGTCAAAAATACATGATAAGCTTTTACTTCAGATTTTAAATATGTAAAGTACTTTTCAGGAAAATAGTAAATTTTGACTCAGCAATACAAATTATTGCCATATCTTCCTTCATTCTACTAAAAAGCTTAAGCATGTGAAGTACCGTAAATTGTACAATATTTACCTTTATGCATGTGGAATTAAAAAAGAAATAGCAGTCATTCCCAACTTCTGCCATTTTCAACTCTCTTGCTGCTAATCCAATGTTTTTTAATATAAGAATTGCAGGAATGCAAATATAAGAACTATCAGTGTGTAAGGGGGAAAAAGAATTTCTTTTCCACAGTCTTTCAGGCTATCAGTAATATTCCTTTAAAACTGACCTCCTGTTGACAGTATATTACACAATAGATAATTCTTAAAGAAATTTAAATTAGAAGATACCTTCTCTAGCTTTGCAGAAATGTTCAAAGTGGTTGCTAGTAAGCACACAAACTCAAACTTCCAGAATTTTCCTCATTGTTACCTAATCCATTGTTTGCTCATCATAAATGACCTCAGACGTAACTGTAGGCTAGCCTACCTTCGTGAATTCTGTATAGTATTTCTCTTCCCCAATTCTAGTATATTAACCAAATAGGCCAGTAAAAATAAAACGTTTTATCTTTAATGTTCTGATTGACTTTGGGACATAAGCTAGTTCATAATTTCATAATTAAAAAGTATTACATATTTCACAAGTAGCTGTTTTCTAAACTCTCATTTCTAGATATGGTTTGGAAAAAAACTAAAATTTTTAAATAAGTAAATATACTATCTATACTCCAAGATAATATGATTATTTAAATATATACTCACTGCTATCCATTGAATTGGGAAAAAAAAATCATTCAGATTGTGTTATTTTAACAGGTACCTGAAAATAATTGGACTATTTATTCATCTTGTAGCTATATTCCATTCATTTTTCATCCATCATAAAAGGAGGAAGAGCTTCTTCCTATAGCAGAAAGGTCCAGAGTGTCTATAAATTTTGAGAATTTGTTGAAGACAAAGTGAAGTACTCGGATTCCCAGAATGAGACATTTCAACCAGCAGTTACTGAGGTCTTTCTTCATAAAGGCATATGGATTCTCACTTTAGTTAAGTAAAACAGGCTAACTGGTATGAACTTTCTGAATACTTTAAGGTAAAAATCTAAGAAATAAAATAAGGAATTAAAATTTAGAAAAGAGTTGTTTGCCTATAACTGTAAATAAAAGAAAAAATAAAAAGAAATAGGCAGTATTAAAAGTAAGTGAAGAAATAGAGAATAAAAATTTGGCTAAACCCTTGAAAATATTAGCAAAAATATATATATATTAAAAAACTTAATATCTTGCCTTCTGTTTTGCCGTAACTTCTAACTCTAGAACAATAAAATACCCATTTTAAGCACATAAGTTACTGAGAAAAACCTCTAAGAAATATCTTTAAGTGATCTTTGCCTCCAGATAAAAACTCCCTCTCTGCCTATGAGCTTTTGGCTGCATGGATTATTTCCAAATACTGTTACCAAACACCATTATTGCATGATTACATGCAACATCATGATTAAAGTCATTGTGAGAATCCCTGTTTTACATCGGGGAAATGATGAAAAAATGTTTTTACCTTTTGGAGTATGTTGGGAAAAATTACATTCCATTAGACACAGCAAAAACAGGTCAAACCAAAATGGGGATTTTTTTTTTTTTTTTCCTTTTTGGCTTTGCAAAGACCAGTAAATAGATTTGTACATTTTGGTAGTCTTTAGAATGCCTGGAGCCTCAATTTCTTCTTTCTCTCTCATTTTTTAAAACAAAACTCTATTTTCATTTCTTTTTCTTTCCTCCGCGCCCCCCCTCCCTTTTCTTATTCACATCTTTCCTGTTATGAAATTCATTCTAGTCTTTCAGGAAAAGCTAGACCATATTCATGAGGATTTTTACTCCCTATAGGGAAGAGCAATGGGAAATTTGCCTCCACAGCTGGGAGTAGGCCTGAGAATTCTGTAAGTATTTTGGGTTGGCCCATGTAGACTCACACTGTCTTCCATCTTTGATGCATGCTAGAATACTAACACATCAGTCAGAGGAAAGTATTTCTTCCAATTTGTAATCCAATTATACCACTTTAAGTACAGGGGCCGGGAGTGAACTCCTTGCTGGCTCTTCAGGTTTATGAGTATCTGGCAAAGCTGCTGGCTGCTATCCATTAGAATAGGAGCCCTGTTTGTAACTGTGAATTGGACCTCTGGCTCTCCCCTGACTTGGACTCCTTTGTTTCAGCCAAAGGCTTTGCTCCAGGCACTGATGAAATCAAAGCACTGGAAATAGAGTGCTTCCCGAGGAACAGTTAGCCTTGCTACTACTATTCAAACAGCAAGTAGAATGTTTTAGAAGATGATCCCGTCTCAGAAATGACAGAATGTTGGACCTAGAAGATTCTGTGGCAGTTTGGGAAATGGCAGTTGATAGTTGTGAGGGTTATTTAATTGTTGTTCCCTTGAGACCCATGAAACACGCTGCTTTTGGGATTCCTCTGGAGGAACAGGAAATCACTGGTGCTTGACTATAAAATACTAAGCGTCTATAGCTCACAGCTAGCATCAGGTGTACTAGTCCCCCTGTTCCTCTTTAAAAAAAAAAAAAAGGTGGGTTTTTTTTTTTTTTTTAGCCTTTTTGTGTTTTCCTAGGAGAAGAAAATAGCAGAACAGAAAGTAAATGAAATGGCAAATCTCTTCTTTCTCCTCTCTGAATCCAGCAATAAAAAAACTGCATTTTTAAAAGGGATACTTATTCTTTGGAAACCCTCTTCTGTATAGATACCTTTTCTAAGGGATAAGTCAGGAAAACACTGGACTCTATGGTACTTGCAGGTAACACAGTTATAGAAATGAGACCTGGACCTTGTCTAAGCACATAAAAATGGCAGTAGTCAGAACTGCCCTGCTGAAGACTACTAGCCTCAATAAGATAGGAAGGCTACATTACTAAATATTTAATATTTTATTCAATCATTGACCGTCTTATCACTTACCCTCCAATATTCTTTTAAGCAACAAGGCAAATAAAGCTGTTGATTGACTAGCTCTGGAGCTGATTGACTCCCAACAACTCAAGCCATTTGGATTCTGTTGGAGCTCATATTTAAGATAAATGAGATTCCTATGAAAAAAATTAAGATTGAAATCCGGTTTTGTATTAGTCTAAGGCTAAATTTTGCACTCAGGAAAAAACATCAGAACCAACTTCGACCATATTATAAGGCACAATGAGGTGTAATCCAAACGGTATTACTATTGTCTGTGTTGGGGGGTCCCAGGTGTTTTAATTGTAGCTTTTTCTAGCACTCTTCCTGGGAAATCCATTTCCATTAGGCTTTGAGAGGTCTCCGAATATTTCTAAACTTTTACAGGAATTTATTAAAGAGAACAGGCAATTAACTTCCACCAGAGTGGCGTTAAATCGGCATCTGAAACTTGTAACTTGGTATTCTTTAATTTTCATAAATATCATCGGTTACTAAATGTGGTTAAGCACGCACAACTCAAAAACGGATCTCTTGTTTCACGGTCATCACAGCCCGGACTAACGCTCGCCGGAGTGCAAACGCGGAGGGGGTACCTTGGCTCCCACACTACAACTCCCAGAAGGCGCCGCGGTCGGGAGGCGGCTTCTGCGCGTGCGTCCCGCCCCACGCTCGGTGTTGGGGGACGTGAGGGCGCCGACGCTTCGCCTGAGCGGGCAGTGTTCGTGGTTTGAGTTTGTGACTGCTGGGGACGCTTTCCCGGCCGGCTCGCTGTTTGGAAGCGTGCTCTGCCTTCGCACTGCCTGTTGGGCCCACCATGAGGCGCCTGGGTTCGGTGCAGCGGAAAATGCCGTGTGTGTTTGTGACGGAGGTGAAAGAGGAGCCCTCCACCAAAAGGGAGCATCAGGTACCGAGGAGTGCGGGGCCCGGGGAGCGGCCACGCCGGGATTCGGGGCTCGTTAGAACCGCCCTGCAGGCCGGGAGCTTTTTGCGGGTTTCGCTGGGGAGGTCTAGGGTAGGGCGTTCTTGCTCCCTGAGCTCCAGGTTCTTGTACCTCCTTAGTTGCGAGGGAGGGAATCCTCGAGAGAATTTTTCTGATAAGGCGATTCAAACTTGCTGTCGCGTGGAAATGGAAAACCCACATCTTAAGTAATAGCCCCTTTTTCTACAACCTTTTTTGGGGGACGACCCCTTAAGTATTCACATAATCACCGCAATCCAAACTTTACTGCTTTTCAAGAGTGTGGTGACAAAGTGGAGATTTTAGAAAACTTGCTTTACACTTGCTCTTAGCCACCGATGGTGTTGACAACTAGCCTAATTAGGTCCCTAAAGATCAGACCTCATGTATTGTCACCGGTAGTTACCTACTTGATTCTAATTTTGGTGTTCCCACCTCCTGGTGTTTCTCTCAGCACCGGGTTTTAGGCTTAGAGGGACTTTGGTAAATACTGGTGAATGATTAGTCACCTATACCAGGGTAATTCTTTCATGTGTAGCAAGGTCCTTGATAACAGAATCCCCAGGTATTCGGTGCTTCCAACTCATCATACGAAATTCTTCGTGTGCATTTGGCATGGGCCCCCACACGCCCCTACATCATTGGCATTGGCGGTCTCCTTGGTTTCTGGACTAAAAGACCTTTAAGGTGGAGACTGCCCTGTTGTATCTAGTCCCAGTTTCTAGGACCTGAAGTGTAGTAGGCACTGGATAAATATTTGTTGAATTAAAGAATGAACGCTGGGGTACTTTCATGCCAATTTTCCATTCACCTTGACCCTTTTTACTTTATTTACTTTTTAAAAATTTATATTTATTTACTTTTAAGATTTACTTATTTTAGAGAGAGAGAGAGCACATGCAGGGGTAGGGGCAGAGGGAGATAATCTTCAAGCAGACTCCTCACTGAGTCGGAGCCATGAGATCGTGACCTAAGCCGAAACCAAGAGTGGGTCACTCAGCGGGCTGAGTCACCCAGGCGCCCCTCATATTGACACTTTTTACTTGTAACAACATTTCCAGTGCCACCGCTGTTACAGTTCTTAATAGTTTATGTGCTGCTTACTGCACTGCCTGATTGTTCTTTCCTGCCATCCAGAATGATCATCATGTTCTTTCCTGGTCAGAACCCCACAGTTAACTACTAACTGTCTGTAGCAGTAGTTGCCAAGCTTTTATTTTTTATAGCCATAACAAACCTAATATGAAATATTGACATCCCAAATAGTGGTTCACTTTAGCTGTGATTCTCAACTTTGTATGTCGGTGGGAGTGGGTAAATGGTAAAAGTACCCTCCACCAGGAAAAATAAGCCCCTGCTCAGGTCCCTCTGTAGTTAAGATTTGCTTCCAGTATTATTTATAGCACAGTATTCAAATCCTTAACTGTAAGTCAAGGCTTCCCATTAATCAGGCCCAGTCTACTCTTGAAGTGCCCGTTGCACCCACCATGAGGGGCCTGGACTCAGTGCAGCAGAAAATGCCATGTGTGTGTGTGGCGGAGTTGCCTACTTAAAGTGAAATCTCTGTTTAAACAAAGTCTTTCATCCTGTGAACCTAGCAGGCATGGTCCTGTCTTTATTTTTGCTTAGGCTGTGCAACTCTGTCTGGATTACTTCCACAATTTTTGATTTTTTCAAATCAGACCTTCTCCATGAAATTTTTGAGCCCCGTAGTTATCCCAGTGATCTCCTTTGTCCGGAAATTGGAGGACCACTCAGTTGATACTCACTGTTACTTTTTAAACACAAATGTCTTCTTTTTCCAAGTAGGTTAAAGTCTTTAATGAGAAGGAGAACTTTGTGTACCCTTGGTATCTTACGTTGTCTTTTGAACATGTTGATAGCAAAGAGTGGTAGAAAGTTGATTCTTACAGAAGGAATATTTGGAGCTCATCAAGAGCTCCCTGGAGGCGAGGGGTCGCCTGGGTGGCTCAGTTGGTTAAGCGTCTGCCTTCCGCTCAGGTCATGATCCCAGAGTCCCGAGAATGAGCCCTTTATCCCTGTATCCGGCTCCCTGCATGGTGGGGAGTCTGCTTCTCCCTGTGCCCCTCACCCCGCCCTCTCGCTCCCTCTCCCTCTCTCAAATAAATAACAAAATTAAAAAAACAAAAACAAAAACTCCATGGGCAGAGTAATTTCCTCCCCAGGATTTTTGGTAAATTTGAATCCACACCAACATTGCTATTAGGCCAGGCCTTAACCACTACAGGCTAAACTGATATCCTCTGATACTAATTGCAGGAGTTAGTGATAAATCCCCAGTCATTATTTTATCTTGAAAGTCCTGAATCAGTAACAATGGTGCTAATTTCCTAAGTCTACCTGACTCAGAAAACCCAGAAACAGTACTTTCATGTATTAGTTTTAAACCTGTACACACCAGTATTGTGCAGTGTTTTTCACATTAAGATGAGTGTTACTTCAGATAATTCACACTATAAAACGGTGGCATAACTCTTTCTCAGAAATAAAAATAAATTACAGATAAAAAATTGGTAGGAATTGTAGAAACTCCTTTTTCCCGTTCTTGATGGTCTTGGCTTCTCTTCCTGACAGTAGAAGAACCATAAATAGAACCATAAATTACGCAGTTTACTACTGCTAAATCTGAAAGACTCCCCATTTGTTTTTCTCCGTAACATTTATTATACTTAACATTGCATGTATGTATTATTTTGTTACTACTGTCTTGCTCATTAAAATGAAAGTTCCACCAAAGACAGGTACTTTTTGTTAATCTCTAACTTCTGTTGTCAAGGACAAGGATTAACCTATAGAAGGCATTTAGCAAGTAATTGTCAAGTAAAGGAACACCCTGTGCTGCGGAGACAGTGCTGCAGAGGACATGGTGGCTGATGTCAGCTCATGGTGGCTAAAGAAATGTACTAATTAAAAATAAGTGTGGGAAAACAGGTATTGCTGTGATAGCATAGAAGGGAGGGGGTAACTCATGAGAACTCGATGGAAGAAATATTTTTTAATTGTCTTGAAGGGTAAGCAGGAGAATGTACTTTAGAAATAGTGAAATTAAGAACATTCCAGGTGAGAGTATGTGTGAAGGCGTAGAGGCTGTTTATTTTAAACCAATTTTCTTTCTCTCTTTTTTAAGCCATTTAAAGTTTTGGCAACTGAAACTCTAAGTCACAAGGCATTAGATGCAGATATATACAGTGCACTTCCAACAGAAAAAGTGGATGGAACATGTTGCTATATTACTACCTACAAAGGTAAAATTATACTACAAATATTATTTGATCACTTTACAAACTATATATATCTGAAGTAGGGCAGTTACCCTTCATAAATCCTTGGCAACCTAAGTATAAGAGCAAAATGATAAAGTCCCAGTTGTTAAACTTATTTATTATATCATGTATCTTTCTCGGAGGAGAAAAAGAAGGTAATTAACATTTACTTAATACTCATTCAAGGCAGGCCATATGATAAATGCTTATCATGTTATCTCTAATTTGCACAGTAAGCTTCTCCATTTCACACATAAGGAAACTGAGCCTCAGACAACTTAAATAATCTGTCCAAGACCATATAATTAATGAATGGCTGAACTGGTAATAGAACCTATGTTTGATCCTAAAACTTATTCTTACTTCACCGATTCCAGTGCTGACTCCATAGGTTTTATTACTATTGTCAGTATCTCTAATTTATTTCAAACTTAATGCACTTTAAGAGTTAGAAACTAAAATAGAAATTGTCAGTTAAGGAAAAAAAATGTATTGAAAAGAGAGAAATAATCTTTATGATTTCCTTTTACCTCTTAATTCCAGCAAGAGAAACAGAACAGTTGAGTAAATGCAAATTAGACATATTCCTGGTATCAGGGAATCTTTTCTGAAATGCATTTTTTCCCATTTTGAATTGTGATTAACATACACTTAACATAATTTACCATCTTAACCATTTTTAAGTATACAATTCATTGTTGTGCTCCTATCACCACTGTCTATCTCCAGAACTCTTCATCTTGCGAAATTAAAACTCAGTACTCATTAAATAATTCACCATTCCCCCTCCTCCAGCCCTTGACAACCATATTCTACTTTGTCTCTATGTTTTGGCTATTCTAGATACCTCATATATGTGGAGTCATACGGTATTTTCTTTTTATGACAAGCTTATTTCATGTAGCATAGTGTCCTCAGTGTTCATCCATGTGGTAGTACCTGCAAAATTCCCTTCCTTTTTTTTTTTTAAGATTTTATTTATTTATTTGACAGAGAGAGACACAGCGAGAGAGGAAACACAAGCAAGGGGAGCGGGGAGGGGAAGCAGGCTTCCCGCGGAGCAGGGAGCCCAATGCGGGGCTCGATCCCAGGACCCTGGGACCATGACCTGAGCTGAAGGCAGATGCTTAATGACTGAGTCACCCAGGCGCCCCAAATTCCCTTCCTTTTTATTAGTAACAGTTTATTGTGTGTATGTTTGTTGTACAAATCACATTAATTTTATGTCTGTACCACATAGTTTTATGTACATACCATTCATCCATCAGTGTACACTTGGGCTTCTTCCACCTTTTGGCTGTTGTAAACAATGCTGCTATGAGCACGGTGAACAAATACCTCGTGGAGGTCCTGCTTTCAGTTCTTTTGGGCATATATCCAGAAGTGGAATTATTGGGTCATATAGTAATTCTATTTTTAATTTTTTGAGGAACTGCCGTACTGTGTTCCACAGCAGCTACACGATTTACCAACAGTGCGCAAGGGTTCCAGTTTCTCTACATCCTCACCAACACTTTTGTTTGATAGTATCCATTTTAATGGATATGAGTGAAATGAGTTTTTGTACTTACTAGTAAAAAGAACAAAAGGTCCATTCAACCAGAAATGACAGAATATAATTTTAATCTTGTTCTTCATATTATTTATTGGGATAGTTAATAAGTAATACAGAATGTCTAACCAAACTATAGTCAGTAATTTTAAAATCTCATATATTTGAAGAAACTAAAAGATTTTTCAGGCTTTTATATCTATATTAAGAAACTTAAATGTGCATCATTATGTGTGATCATGTATAATAGTGGCAGATAAACATGATTGGATTGCTAAAGAAAACTTACAGGATCCAAAATGACAGTGCTTGCAAATCCACAGTTTATTACAGGTGAAGGATACACAGTATTAGCAAGGGCATTGAACGTAAGGATGTACACAGCAGCAAAGGGTCTGGTGAGTCTAGGTGAAAGCACCTGTTGTTACCCCCTCGCACCCCTCTCCACTCCTCCCAGCCCCCAAGGTCCTGGCAGGACACACTTTGTCAAATCAGGAACCACTGATGTATGCAGGGAACACCTTGGAAACAGAATCCAAAATGGAGTGTGAGCTGGGGATTTCTATATTCTGCTGGTCACGGAGACATCTTCCTGCTAAGTAACCAGCCTGAACAGCAGAGCCCTCCAGGAGTCTCACTGACACCAGGTATAAGATTCATTAGTCTTACTGTTATCAATAAAGAATGCAGGCACACCACGCTGAAACCTCGCAGATCCATGATTACAGATCATCACTAATAATCACTTGACCAGGGATCAGAGCCATGCAAAACAGCTCAGCCTAATTCCACATTTTTGGGAACTAACCCTTATAGTTATGTTTCAGGAAAAGTGTGACTACAGTTATCCGGGTATGTTTCCATTTAGTATAGAGGTAGCTTCAGTTTCTCACAAATGCTCATTGCCAATAAAATATGGCTGCAGAATGTCCTTATGAAGTGGTCACATATTTACTTTTTATCTCATCCTCATCATTCTTTAACCAGACTTAAATCTTCTTACAGCATCAGGTTCTGCTGGGTAAGATGTGTTTGTTAGAGTGCATCTTCTAGGGTTGCTGCTTTTAGGAAAGATGACCCTATTATTTATTGAAAAACTTTATACTAAATTGTCTTTCAAGATAAGTTTTATTGTTTGGTTCTTAAACTTTTCTTTTCCCTTTTATTATTTTTTTAGGTCAGCCATACCTTTGGGCTCGGCTAGATAGAAAACCTAACAAACTAGCTGAGAAAAGATTTAAAAATTACCTACAATCAAAACAAAACTCACAAGGTTAGTGGGCCTTTTCCTTTTTTTTTTTAGCTTTTTATGATTTAAATAACGTGCAATTTTTGGCTTATTTCTTGCTGTGGTGGTATTTTTATACATTATATCCTTCTTACAATTTAATTACTTAGGGGAAAGAAGAAAATTATAATTGAGTATCTTTGTATGTAAAAGAATATTCTTGAAAAGTATTTTAAATCATTTTCTTAACATTTTTACAACTCATTAGACTATGTTGATTTTATTAAAGTATACAAATTACTACATATATACTGTAATGAGCAACACATTTTGGTTTTGTTGCCTAAGAGACAAATATGTAATTTTATAAATCAGGCACAAAAATAACAAAGGATTATCAGTATGTTTAATTAAACATTAAAATGCCTCTAAATATTATATAAGCAGATATATATGTTAATCATTGTATATCTACTCATTCATTTATATATTTATAGTACATTAAAAATTCATCATAAATCTACACATACTGGAACATTGGCTTCTTTAGACTTTTATCACTATTTATAGAGTGGTGGGTTCAAAATTGAAAAATTTTTTTAAAAAGATTTTATTTATTTGACAGAGAGCAAGTGAGCACAAGCAGGGGGAGCGGCAGGCAGAGGGAGAGGGAGAAGCAGGCTTCCCACCAAGCAGAGCACCCGATGTGGGGCTCAATCACAGGACCCTGGGATCATGACCTGAGCTGAAGGCAAACACTTAACCGGCTGAGCCACCCAGGCGCCCCCAAAATTGAAAATTTAAAGTGCTAGTACCCTAACTCTGAGAATTGCAGTCACATCATGGTGATAATGGAGAATAATTATATAATATCTAATATCATGGGATTTATTAGCTATTCCCACATTGAATTTGTTCGTCTTTTATATTTTTTAAAGTATCACCACATGTAAAATTATTTAACTCTTTTAGAATTTTTTTGGAATGTTGAGGAGGACTTCAAACCTGTTCCAGAGTGCTGGATACCAGCGAAGGAAATAGAACAATTAAATGGGAATCCGATGCCTGATGAAAATGGACACATTCCTGGTATCATGAAAACTTTTCTAAAATGCATAAGGAATTTTTCTGGGAATGGGAAAATTTTTGCAAAAGTGTGCTTAGTAGAAAGATATCCCAGGTTAAGGTTCAGTTCAGCAGGCGTGTCTTGAATACCCTAATGTGCAGAGTACTCTTAGGTTCTAGTAACACAAAAATGAAGATTAGAACGTTATCCTCCATGATCTTTTAGACACTAGGGGAAATCCACCAATACTGTTATGATTTAAGAACTAAAAGGAAGGTATACAAAGTGTATAGTCAGAGAAAAGAGGAAGAGTTCTGGTGAGCCTGTGATAGAGGAGGCTTCTAAGCGGAGAGGACATCTGTACTGAAGCTTAAGAACCAGGAAGTTAGCTGGCAAGGATGAGGGAAGGTCAGCTTAGGCAAACTCCCATAAAGAGGAGCGATACGGAGTCTGGGAATTTTATGTGACACTTCTCTGTGGCTGGAATGTTTAGGGTGTAGGACATTGGAGGACATTATAAAAGTTGAGGCTGGAGATGTAGAATGGACCCAGATCTTAAAGGGGTTTATATTCCATTTAGAGGATTCTGAAGTTCATCCTGAAGATTATTAAGCAGGGGTACAGCAGAACTAAATTTAAATTTTTGAAGCAAGATTATGATAAAAGTGGGGTGGGTTTTCCTGGAGACTAATGGACCAGAAAAGAGGTTTTTACAGTTAACCTGAGTATTGAAGGTCAAAGATATGGTCACAGTGGCATATGTGTCCTAGTTTTCGTTTGTTTGATAAAGAATTGTCCACATGCAGGAACCTATTCTGGTAACAGAAGTTAGGAGAGGAATAGCAATAACCTCAATACAGGTGGAATTAATACATTGTTCAGCAAATACTGCAACAGGACAATAAATTGTAGAAAACTTACTGCATAGGTCTATTGTCCCTGAAACTGGAGAGACAGTAGAGAGAAAACTTAAAAAAAAGAAATGAAATGAAAAAAGGGTTTTAATACTCTGTTTTAGAATGGTATTCAATTCATACTGAAAATTTTCTAGAAAGGAATGCTGAGTGCTCTATAGTGAATCATCAAGCAGTTAATTCCTCAACAGAATAAAAAACCTTATGATTAAAAGAATGATTAGGATTAAAAAAGTAGTAAAACTGCCAGCACTTCCACTGATTTAAAAAAAGTGTATCTGTGGGTGATAAACATCCAGAAAACATGGAAAATTTATAACAAATATAAAACTTGATTCAAGTCTCAATCCAAAGAAAAGCGGTGTCATGACAGTTTTTCCTTTACGTGATAGGTTGGGTACCAGTGGAGAAACACAACAAACAGTACTGCTGGCATTCCTCTGTAGTTAATTATGAATTCGAAGTTGCCCTGGTACTGAAGCATCATCCTGATGATCCTGGGCTTCTGGAAATTAGTGCAGTGCCGCTCTCAGATCTCCTAGAACAAACACTAGAACTTATAGGAACAAATATTAATGGAAACCCGTATGGTGAGTGAAGCCTTTTTCCTGTTCAGTTATAGTAACTGTATTTATAAGGAGAACTTCCTGTGTTCAACTTAAAACACATACACTAAAGAAATGACTAATTTGAGCTAAATAGCTTTCTAGAATTACAGCCATTTCTATTTATGTCCACAGAGAAATTTATGCATGACTCTAACCATTTTATTAATCCAAAAAGTTGATTTTAGCCTCTCATTCTTTTGTGTAGTAACATTGTAGAACTAGGTATGAAAGGGAATTACTCAAGGGTAACTTTTTGTTGCTTTTTAAAATTTAGGTGAAATGAGTTGAATGAAAATCCTGTATTTTTCATGGCTAGGTAATTAGTTTAGCATTAATTAACAGCTAAGAGTAAATTAAGTAAAGAATTGACCGTGAATCGAGTATCAAAATCTGTACTACGGTGAACTGAGTACAAGTCCAGAGGGCACTGTGGAGAACATTGTTGACAAGGGGATGGAGACAGACCCCAGAACATTAAAGCTGGAATAGCAAAATCCTATATAGGGATCAGAAGCAGACTGGCAGGTGGAAAGAAGTTAAGATAGTAATTACACACGTTATCAGAGATACAGAGTGGCTGTTTGGCAAACATTGAATGATAGTTGGACTTGGCTAGTAGTATAGAGCAGGGGTTGGAGGACTTTAAGTCCAGATAGTAAATATTTAGGTTTTATAGGCCATAAACAGTACTTAAAAGAATGCGTATAGCTGCGTTGAAACTACAAAAACAAGCATCTGGTTGGATTTAGCCCATGGGTCATAGTTTGCTGACCCTTGGTATAGATTATATGAAGGTGAAATTTATATTTAATGGGATAAGGTGGCAGTTTTGAATGAGATCACTTATGGTATATCTCTCTTCTAGGAAACCAACTAAACTTTTTGGTAAATTTATTGCTAAATCTTTTAAAAGGCCTTTTTATTTGGATAAGTAAATTTTCTCAATTCTTTTTGAAACCTTTGTATGGCTAACGGAAATTTTTAACATTTAGGGCTAGGAAGCAAGAAGCATCCATTACATCTTCTTATACCACATGGGGCATTTCAAATCCGAAATCTACCTACCTTGAAGCACAATGATCTGTTATCCTGGTTTGAAGGTTGCAGAGAGGGTAAAATTGAAGGAATAGTATGGCATTGTAACGATGGCTGTTTAATCAAGGTAATGACAGAAAGTAGCTCGCGGGATGTCGTCGTCTTACTTCCTAAAACGAGGTAGAAGTGGCACTAGAATATTCTCTACAGATTGCAGTAATTCTAATGTGTTATAAAGAAATTTAATTTCCCATTCTCACAGGCCACCATTCTTTATATAATAGTGTTTCCCAATGTGTATTCATTCTCTGGGGCATTGGTTTTCCTAGACGCGCTTCAGAATTAAAGTGATGAAAATGTCTGGAAAAACTGCACATTACATACTGCCTTCTTGGAAATTGATGTTGCAGATGAATGCGCTCTGACATAATCCGTACCAACTTAGTTTAACTCAGCATTTCCCAAACTTACTTGATTATAGAATTTGAGTTAAAAGTGCCAAGGTAACAGTTAATATTTACAGAAGGAACTTTTATACTTTATGCCCTTTCTGTCTCTTGGACTTGTCTATTTGATTTCGCAAAGGTTTCTGAAATTAGTAATGTTCAGAACTGGACCTAGTCATATCCACCCCTGACTCCCAACAGTTCAAAAACTGAAATATCATTTTTAACCCCTCTCTCCATTACTTCACAGATAAAGATTCTGATCTGTTGAATCTGTACTTCTCCCCAACCAGTTGGCAGTTAATTTTCATTTTAACTGAAGCCAAGATTCATGCTTGACCTAGTTTATCACCCTCTTAAAGGTTATCTTTCAGTCTTATCCCTGTTCTGTCCATTCTTCACAGTAAGTGAAAATGTTAACTTTGCTGCATAAAACTTGCTTAGTGACCTTAAGATTATTCATGATCTGACCCTTGCTTCACTTTCTGGAACTGCTGTACACCCCCATCTGCCAAATATACCCACACAGTATATGTTCTAACCATGCTTATATAATTGCAATCAGAGCAAAAAAAGCACCATTGTGTCACGTGACATTTAGAATGCCTCCCCACCCATATTTTTTAATTGGCTAGCTTCTGTACTCAGCAGCAGACTCTATTCATTAAATTTTTATGGAGTCCCTGAATATGTTCCTGGCATGTTTCCAGGTGCTGGAAATACAGAATCAACAAAACAGTGTTTCTGCCTTCACGAAGCTCACATTCTAATGGGGAAGATAGACAATAACAAGTAAATATGTAATATGTCAGGAGGAGAACACGTATGAAAAAAAAAGGGTAAGATAAAGTGGAGCCTTAAATAGTGCTTGGCAGATGGTAGGCATTCAAAATAAATACTTAAAAGTGAATGAAGATAAAAAAGTATAAAGCTAATAACCTTTTTTTCTCTTTTCAGGTTCATCGCCATCATCTTGGTTTATGCTGGCCAATTCCAGATACTTATATGAATTCAAAACCAGTTATTATCAACATGAACCTGAACAAGTATGACCATGCCTTTAATACTAAATGTTTGTTTAGTCTTTTTTCAAAAATAGATAATCAGAAATTTGGTAGGCTCAAAGATATAATACTTGATGTATAAACTAAAATGCAATTAAGAACCAGCTTTATTGTTATCTTTGAATCTTGAATATTCTGCCACATGTGGAAGGTAAAAAAAATCTCAAGGTTCCATGTCTAATAGAGCAATGTCTTCTGGCATTTGAAGACATGAATTTCCCAGTTGCAAAGGTCTATTCAAAATTTTATTTAGAACCAGCAAATGAATTTCAACCACTAGACTTAAAAACGTAATAATAAGCTCCTTACCTTGTACAAAAGTTGGAGAAAGACAGCAGTTAAACCAACAATTCTGGATCATTTAAAAATTAAATAGTTCAAGATGAATTTATTCTAAACACTTAAAACATATGGCTGTAACCTCATGTTTATATACATGTACATATATATAAAATTCTAGAGTCTTAATACACATATAAATAAGTATATATAAAACCCCAATTTTAAATGTTAAGTTATTAAAGCTCACCCCATACTCTTTAAAAAACTTAAACATTATGTATACAGAAATTCATCATAGCTTATTTGATAGTCATAACTTACTCTAAAGGTCATCAAAACTATACTTTTCTATTATGTTTAAAATTTCCTATAATTTTATTTACTAAAACTTCAATTTAGTAAAGGTACAGGGTATGAAGAAGGAAATCATGTAGGTCCGAGACCTGCTTGATTTACAGATGGAGTTTTAACTTATAAAGTTAATAGTTAAGTAAAACTACAGGTAGAGGTAGTCCTTAATAAATGGGGAGATCAGCAGGACTTCCCTCTTCATCTTCAAACTGTTCAGAAGCAGCAACAGGACTAGTTAATTCAACTCCATATTGTTCAGAAAGTTTTTTTAACTTTTCTTCTAAGAGAATATTCTTTTTCACTTCTTCTTTATAATTATACTTCAGATCTTCAATTTCTTCAAAAAATGAAGGATCAAAGTTTTCCAGTTCTTTTTTCAGCTTTTTTATTTCCTCCTAATAGAAACATGGTATCTTTGAAAGGTATGTAGGAATACAATATATTCTTTAGATTTGAACTAAAGAGACTTAATTACAAACATAAAATCCAAAGTAACCTGAATAATCTAAGATACTTGTATACTATATAGGTAGAAGTATTTTCTTAGAATTTTGTTAATAAGGTTTCATTGTACAGCATAAGTAACTTGTTAGCTAGTAAAATTATTTGTTCTGTAAGTTATGTCCTAGTTTTTGACTAAAATTTATCAGTTCTTAAATGGGTAGGAGAGGGGTGGTATTTAAATCTTTCTCCAAAAGTATATCAGATACTCTCATTGAGGAAATCAAAAAGACTTGGCTATTCACAACACAAGTTATTTTGGTTAAGATTCTTTGGTCTAGGCTTCATTTATATTTTCTTTACAAATACCTATTTTTTTTAAGTGAATAATAGTCAACTTCTTATAGAATTAGGGAAACTCCAGGACTTCTACTTGGCTAAGAGGCATCTGGTGAAGAGACAATTTGAACTTTAGAATAGCTAGTGATCACTAGTTAATTCTTCAACTTACGCTCTTTTGTTCTGTTTGTAGATTCTTTGAGAGAGAAAGCATGGCAAATATCTTTCTTTTTAATAAAGGGAGCTATTCCCGAAAAGAACTTCAAAAGGAAATAAGACACTATTCCCATAATGTGACCCAAAACTTAATATTAAAATAATGAGCTACATTTGTGAGAATCAAAAAATAAATTTCGCTTCAATACTACTTGTTTTGTCTGTTTTTTTGTAGCTCTTTTCGTATTTTTAACACAGATGAATGTAATGAATTCTGTAATATCAAGGTCAAATGTAACTCCAGGAATTTTTAGGATACATACTTAAAACTCAAAGATGGTGTTCATAAAAGTTGTTTTTAACAGCTGTTTACACAAAACATTTACAAATTGTAATTAGATAAAATTACCTTCAAATGCTGCTTTTCTAAATCTGAGGTTTTGAGCTGTGTCTCTAAATCTTTCACCTTTTCCTTTAGTTGATCAGGATCTGCCAAAAAAGTTATAAAAATCAGATTCTGCTTTTCCCCACTCTGACAAAGGATTTGTTTCAGAGAATAAGTAGAAAACTTAAGAAACTAGAGCCTAGAATATACGGCATTTTACTGAAACACTTTCCAGACTGTGAATACTGTAACGCTATCTCTATCAGATATTGTAGTTCCATAGCAGACCAAGAGAAAAGGCACCTGCTGGGTATTAGAAGTGTAGAATCAGGTTAATTTTTTACATGGAAGAAATTATTTTCCAGAGAAAAATCCTACAGCCAGGAAGCATTGTTAGGTACTAAAAGGACAACAAAAGAATAAGTAGACTGTCAGGTAAGGGGCTACAGCCAGAGCTGGCCAAATGCTCCTGGTCCCCAACAGTATTGGTTGTTCCATGTAGGTCAGTACACATTTACTGTGTAATTACTATGTGAAAAACATGCCAGGCAGGGTGGATAATACAAAGACGAATAAATCCTAATACAATGGTCAGATAACATTAAGTACACAAATAGAGCACAAGGGCTTTAATTTACTGGATCCTTAACCACCCCCGTCACCTGGAGTTAACATCTCTCCAGTTTTATAATGAGAATCAATTGCCATCTTTGCTAGAAACATTTTCTTTAAACACAACATATAATGTGTCGTGTCATATTCTGTAGCCATTGAAGGGTAAAATTTTAAAAGTAATGCTAAAGTTCTGAGAAAATAATGGGCAGCAAGACACATTTTGATGAATGAGACAGGAAGGTTTCTGTTCTATTAAGGTTCCCTTGATATGGTCCCCTAATTATAAGTTGGAGACCAGAAATATTTTCCTCATCCTTTCCTTTGGGAATAGTCAACAGAACCCATCTTCCTTTGGAAAGCAGAGCAAAATCATACTTTTCAAAACTTCCCTCACCTTTGTAGAAAGTGCTAATGATTTTTTATAAATTTGGTTCTTAATCACTGTAATGCTATATTGAGTTGATTGTCTTAATCAAAGGGATGCTATATGTTACACAGATTTGTAATGAAATAGTGCAGTAAAAATGATTATTATGTACAGCACTTTCTGAAAGTTAGCTTAATGGTATTTGACTGCATGATCGAAATGACAAATTCTGTTTCAAAGAATTATACCAATTTATGCCTGAACAAACTTTGACTGTTTCATACAGCTTTTTCAATATTCTGCCACATAGTCTTGTTGCTACTTTGAAGTATCCTTAATCTCCTTTAAATAGATGAAGAATACAGGGTTTTGAAATTTCCCTCTCAGGAAACAGAGGTTTCTTAGGAAGAAAGAACTTGCCAAACATCAGCAGCATCAACAGGTCTTTAGGAGTGTGCTAGTCTGGTAACCTAAGCTGGCTGCTGTAAGAGCTACTGTTGAGAGAGATTTACATGACTGTTTTAGTCACCAAGAGGTAGCTAAGGCATTTCCTTGGTCAAAAGCAGGGAATGGTGAGGAGCTTTGGAGTTCCACAGATTTAGGTTTCATCCTGCCTCTCTCACTTCCTAGCTGTTGTGACCTTGTTACTTAACCTCTTTAAGGTGAAGATCATAGGAAAAATGGAGACAATAGTACCCACCAAACAGTGCTTTAAGAGTTAAATTATAAAATGCTGGGGTCAGGGGAGAAAAAAATTATAAAATGCTTGTAAAGCACTTAGCATAGTGTCTGGTACAACTCATACATGATAGCTTTAACGCAAAGTAGCAACAAGAATATGTGGTAGGATACTGAAAAAGCTGTATGAAATAGTCAAAGATTGTTCAGGTATAAATTGATAGAGTCCTTTAGAATAGAATTTGCCATTTCCATCACACTATCAAATCAAATGATTCTTGTTGTTAACAGTGATGTTCTCAAAAGTCAACCCGAACAATGGATTCGTGAATGTTGAACCATTCATTGCTCTTAGGGAAAACATTACACATACACATACTCATATCTCACATACAGTATAATTTTAAATCCTGGAAACATCCTGGTAGATTCTATTTTCTTTGTTTTATAAAAGAGAAAACAAAGTTCAGAAGTGTCAACTGACTCTCCTGAGGCCCCACTCGTGTCACAGTTGGGATTTAAACCCAGTCCAACTGGCCCCAGAAACAGCTTCTTGCCCTGTGCTGCACTCCCTTGTATGGCCTCCATCTTCTGGTCATCTGTATGAGAGAGCTGCAATAATGCAGAGCCTCACCTTGTTGGATCTCATCTGGAAAACGGTGGGTCAGAACTTAAATTTTTCACTGCTGTGTGTATCTGCAAAAGCACCAGGAGTACTGGTTTTGGGGTTACAAGTAAATTTTAGTGAGTGGCTGAATTTACAAATACAGACTCTGAAAATAATGAGGATCAACTTATGTATGTATACATAATGCATATATGTACATATGCATACATACGCACCTAGCAATACAATGATTAATCACTTCTGAATGGAAGCATGTAGAGGACTAGACTGTTTTACTTTGTAAAAGGGAAGAAGAATGTAGGCAATGTTTACTATATGTTTGAAAGTTAATAAGAGGATAGGGACACCTGGGTGCCTCAATCGGTTAAGCATCTGACTCCGGCTCAGGTCATGATCCCAGGGTCCTGGGATTGAGTCCCTGCAACGGGCTCCCCGCTCAGCAGGGAGTCTTCTCTCTCTCTGCCCCTTCTCCTGCTCTCTTTCTCTCTCTCTCAAATAAATTAATAAAATCTTTAAAAAAAATAACAAGAGGACAATAACATTTAGAAGATAATGTTCATGTTCAGAGGGCTTAAAAGGGCCTACTTAGAAACTGGATACCACAGACCTAGCATATTGCTTAGCACTGTGTCATGATTAAATGTAACACCCATACGGAATATAAAAAGAAAAACACCTGAGTACCTGCTGTTATAAACAACTCAAGAGGACTCAATGGGAACATGACTGTTGCATGAAGGAAAGAGCTCTGAAAACCTGCTACCAGGGATTTGATTTTATAGGAAGA